TTAAGGTAAAAGTTTCCTGATTATAGAAAGCTAGTACAATTTTTTTTTCTACTTTCTATGTTGATTAGTGCTGAGATAAAGGAAAGAGATTTCTCTTGCTGAAGTGATTAATTTTATAATTAGGTAGGTTTTTGGAGAAACCAAAAATCTGAGTCATTTTCATTTGGTTGATGTTTCTTGGCTGGCTGCTAATGTAAATCATTTATTTCAAATTTAACTTCTCAAATTTGGTGATCAGTTTGCATATATATATATATATAAATCCATTTCCCCAACCCCCATGCAGCGGGTATCCAATGCTGTATATCTCTCCATAAATTTAAAAAACGTGTTGATCTGGTTTGGATTTGCTTATGGGTTATGACAATAAATTAATTATATTCATTTGAGAATTTCTATATATCATCGTCCCATGCCCAAGTTATTGCACTTGGTCAAGAACCCATTTGGCATTTGTGTTGCAATGACAATTATCATAATTGTGATTAGCACCAAAATGGGAAGACTGGTGACCAAATTTGCACATTTCGTTATGTGGTTTTGATCAGGATAAAGCAACTACTTCTTATTATGATCAAATAGATTTTTTTTTCCTATACCATTTATGAATTTTTATAATTTCGAAAATTCTTTTCTTTTTTTTTTTCCTTTTACTAAAAAATAAAAAAGTAGCTAGGTACTTGGTAGTTATCATGGAACATCATATCAGGTGCCCCATGAAGAAGAGGAAAAGGCACATTCATGCATTATGACTTTATATAGAAAAAGGAAATTAAAACACCAAGAATGTGATGATGTGATTCCTGCATTTTCTATATCTAGAATTTATCATCTGCTCCAATACTTTTAGCATGATTATTGAAAAAATATCCTTTTTTATACAAATCCCAAATGTGGACCTCAGCTCTAGCATTTAACATATTTATCCACGCAATGGAACTTGGACACAACTATATTGTGATGATATATAACTAATAGTAGAACAATTTCTTTAGAATATTTAGCTATGATTACGAAAATGTGAAACCCATATGCCAAGCAAAAGAAAAGGAAAATAATTTTAAAAGAAGAAAGACCCACATCTAGGATGGGAAAATTTTTTTGTATTACTATATCATTATTTGTTTTAGTGAAACTTTATGGATAAAAAAAAAAAAGAGATTCAATTGCTAACTTTTCTTTTTAACGATTAAAAAAGGTATCAACTTTATTTTTTATAAAAGCAAGGTTTAAGATTTTGAATGGATGTTGTGTTAATTTTTTTTATTTTTTGTTTTTGGAAACCTAGGAAGACATAGCTTTATAAAACAAAAAGCCAAGTCACATAACTGTTGGAATCGATGGGGATTAAATTAGATTAATATTTCTTTTCACTAATGAAATGTTTACAACTCTTTGAACACCTGAGCTGAGATTACATATATAAGAAATCTGAGATTATACTATATTATATATATATATGTTTAATTTTTACTGGAATTCAAAACATTACAAAATCATATCAATGGCTATCTTTTAATGTTTTTTTGGTCATGCTATTGTATTATTTTATCATTTAATTTTTTTAAAAATAACAGGATAAAACGATGAAATTTTTTTCACTTACCATTCGAAACGAAGCATAAGAAAAAACATACCCATTGGTGGGGGTGGTGAAGAGTGATACTGTACTCTAAAATTAACCCCAAAAAGATTTTTTATGAAAAAAGAGAAGCAAAGCCATTACTTCAAAAAGTGAATCATAAAGTGAAATTGTTGGTACATATTTCATCGTTTAACTGTCGGTCGGAGTACGTCAAACTGGCAGGCCTCAGGGGCTGCCTGTCAAAAATGTTTTTTTTTTCAGAAGTTCAATTCCATTTCATCACAACTACACAAAAAGTAACCACAAAAATGAAAAACCTGCTTAAAAACAAATAGAGTGGGTCAGGCGTCACTCTCATCGAAAGGGCTCTGTTTTTTTTAACAGTGCCATTATTTTATTACTATGAAAAGAAAAGGAAAGAAAAATCAAAGTCACACTTTCAAAAATCGAATCCATTTTTTGTTCTTTTAAATTAAAGTTGATTTGTGAAATGGACCTGTCACGTTACGGAAAAAGATGGGGTAACCTATGAACAGAAGATTTTTTAATTATAAATACAAATGATAAATTATTATTAAATAAATTCAATATAAAATTATATCAAATTCATATAAACTTGATAACTTGAATTTATGATTTGAAAATTTTAAAACTTTTTTATTGTTACTAAATCAAAATTTCATTCATAAGAATAAAAAAATACTTGTTATTTATATATTTTTTAAATAGCATCTTATTTAAATGTAAATATATTCTCTAATTTGTCAATTTAAAATAAGATATATCATATTTAAATTAATCATGTTTTACTTTATATTAATCTATATACTTATTATGTGAGTAAATTAATAAATAATCTTGTAACTTAAAAAAATAAAAAAAAAAATATTGTTATTTGAAAACATTAACAAGAACAAAAATATAAATAATTCAACGATACTAAAAAATAGATATAAAAATTTTGAAATATGTACATCCAAATTTTATTTTAAAGAAAAAAATTTATAATACTCATATTTTTAATCAGTACTTAATTTTCAATTTAACTTTTTGAATTTTTTATAATTACTCCAAATTAAATTGTTATCACTTCACTTGTCACACAAAATTTAATAAAAAATATTATAAATAGCATAGATAAATCGTGCGTTCAATAATATATCGAAGTAGAAAATTTTTTATGTTACTATTGGTGGTAAAACCTCCGATTTAAGATGTTTATTTTAGAATTTATCAACTCAATCAATCTTTACTTACAGTCATAAATCAACAGTAACAAGGAAATTTTATCAAATAAAAAAGTTAATGTCAGGTTTAATATTATGAATTATTTTTAAATTATAACAAAATATTTAATGTAATACTTAAATTTTAAAAATTTTTAATATGATATTTGAATTATAGATTTATTAATTAATATGATACTTAATTTTAATGTGATTAATTTTAAATAATAATAAATAAAAATAAATAATTTTTTAAATAACATATTAATTAATAAATTTATAATTTATATATTATATATTATATTTAAAAAGTTTTAAATTTAAATATTATATTAAATATTTTAATATAATTTAAATATTATTCATTACATTAAAAAAAAACATGTTGATAAAATTTATACATTGAGCAGTAAAAAACAGAAAAAGTGAAATTAAGATGGAAGGCAGTGGAGACTGGAGAGGAGCTTCAATGATCGAGTCAAGATCCGGCCTGTTACTTAGTTGGCACGCGCGATCTTCTCTTTTTCGTCGTTTTCTTTCCGTTTCGGCTCTCGAGAGTCGAGAATCTCTTCTTTTTTTTTTTTTACTTAGCGTGAGATACTCGAGTCCTTATGGTATTTTCAGACCGTCAACGCTTCTTGCTGTAATTAATAATCCTCGAAGGTATGGAAGAGGCCTAGAGATCGCTTTCTAAGCCGGACATCTGTCAATAAAAAAGATTGATGCCACGTGGCAATATTCAAAGTCGGAGGTTGAATTCTAAGGTAGTTTAAGTCATTTCATTATGGTTACCCATATGGGTATCTTTCTTTTTTTTTTCTTTTTTTTTTTGTTTGGTAGTGAATCAGGTTGAGAAAAGAAAGAAGGAACCTTGCCCCAAGTTGTACCATTAATCTTGTTCTTAGTGTGCTTAAATATGTGAAAGTACTCTAGTTTAGCTGTAAAGTTTAAATTTTTTCATGGCTTGAGTTGTCCCAAGACAAATTTTAATGATGATTAAGTTTTAATGACTCAACCTATAATCATATGTTAGACATATAATTGTAACATTGATCTTTTCTCTATGTTTATAGCATTGTCTTGTAATGAGATGTAAAATGGAGTACTACTTTTTAACCAGAGGTTAGTCAAAACAATACTTTGATTTATCCTTTCTGATGTAATGTTAATAATTAGAACTTAAAACTTATGAGAGAGTAAAATACAATTTAAAAAATTTATTTACATTCGAAGTGAAATAAAAATAAAATCTTCAACCATTGTAATTTTATTTTATTTGATGAACGATTTCATTTGACAACTTACTTTTAATATTGTTGAAAGATTTTTTGATCGAATTATAGATGATTTAAATTATTCGTAAATATATTAAAATTTTAGTTTTAATAATAACGATTCGTAATTACTTTAAATACAAAAAAAAATGCTACATCATATATGTTTACCTAATGAGGCCTAAGATATATTATATTAGCATATGTTTGTTGGTAGTAACATCTCTTTATTTAAAGTATTAAAGTTCAGCATGTTCAAAACCAGTTACACGTACATTGTTAGAACTAAAAAAATCACCACATCATCATGAAAAGAATTTGAAATATAATTCTTTATTATGTAGTAACATCATACAGCTATTAGCGTTTGTCTCGGCATTCCTCGCTCTCTTATTTTTCAAAACACGACAAAAATGAATGCAAATTGGTTTTAAAAAAGGGGGAATTAAGCAAATGTTAAACAAAAGCAATAGAGCCCCAATTAATGGCCACGATGAAAACGAGCCAACCACGGCCATGGCTGGTTCTCAAAATCTCGGGAAAGATGTGAGGGACGTGGAAAGATCCTTTTGGTTCTACCCAGCCATTCAAGCCAGCGCAGTTCTCGCAAATCCTGTCACTAACCCCGTCCCCCACCCCTCTTTCTTTTTGCAGTCATATATATTATTAACACAGTAACACTTATTGCAGAGAAAAGACAATGTCACAAATGTTTTTTTTTTTCTTACAGTGTCTTTTGTAGTCTCTTGGAACCCTATTTTTACTTACTTTTATCTCTCTCTTGTCGACAGTGGAGAGAGACATAGGGAGACAGCAGATCCTCCCCTATGTTGTAACTTAAAGTACTGCCTTAAAAACAAAACCTACAATTTGCAGCCATTTACACTTTTTTTTCCTGTTTTGTTGTTTTAATGTAAATCTTAAGAGTATCATTTTATAATATTTTCTTCATCAATATCTTGCCTCGATATTGTAAACCCTCCATATTTGAATCAGGAACTCTCCTCATTCCTTCCTTTCCCTCTCTCTGGCTAGCTATATTTGTAGGACAACTTGTTCTCCTTCAAAATCTTCCCAATTTGCTTTTGCACTATATTTTTCTGGTTAAAAGTTGAAGTCTCTTCAACTCTTTCGTGGTGCTGAAATCTATAGCTTGTTGAGATTGTTCTTTTTTATATTAATACAAATTCTTCTTTTGTCAAAGAGAAAGGGGATTAGTTTAATTTTTCAGGTCTTCTTTTGATGATGGCTCAAAAGCATTTGCACGAGTTACTTCAAGACGATCAAGAACCATTTCTTCTGAAGAAGTACATTGCTGACAGGCGTTGTCAACTCAAGAAACCATCACCTAAAACCCATCTTCAAATCAAGAAAAGAAAACCCGTCTCTCAAAACTCAAACTTTCCTTCAAATTTCTGCAAAAACGCTTGCTTTTTCTCGTTCCATGACTCACCAGACGCAAGAAAGTCTCCATTGTTTGAATTTCCATCCCCAGCTAAGAGCCCTTGTAAGAGCCCCAATGCCATGTTTCTTCACATCCCGGCAAGAACAGCAACTCTTCTTCTTGAAGCTGCTCTCAGGATTCAAAAACAATCTTCGTCAAAAACCAAACCTCAGAACAAAAACAACGGCACTACTTTTGGCTTATTTGGTTCCCTCCTAAAGAGGCTAACTTACCGCAACAGAAACCGAAAGCGTGAAATAGTTAATAATGGAGCTAAAGTTTCAGTCAAGGACATTTTAAGGTGGGATTCAACTGTGGGGAAAAACAATCTAAGTCCAAGGAAAATATCTTCAGCAATGGAAGAGAAAAGTGGTTGTCAAATGGGGTTTTCTTGCTCTTACAATGGAAGGCCAAGCAGTGCTGTTTGGTCAGAAAGCAATGAAGAAAAATCCTTGGATATGGATTCAGACACCTCCTGTAGCTGTAGCCAATCCGAGGATTTTGAAGAGATTTTCATGTCCAAAGATGCTATAGAAAATAACTTAGCTTTTGGTTCTTGTGATAAGCACCTTTGTGAAAGCCCTTTTCACTTTGTACTTCAAAGAAGCCCTTCTTTTGGTCACCGGACACCCCTCTTCTCTTCCCCGGTCACATCCCCAAGTCGCCATCAAAAGGAGGTTAGTACATTTAATTGAAAGAGTAGAAATAATAAGTTAATTAATCAATTGGTTAATTACAAGTTAAAACTGCAACTCTGGGTCTGTTTAAAGCTTCTTCATTTTGGGAGTATTTGAGTAAACTCGTGACTCAGTTGACTGAGTTCTCTGACATGCTTGAACTGTCGGCAAATGCAATCAACTTCGCTGTAAATTTTGGCCGGAATTTGATCCGAATTGACAAATTTGCCCTGTTAGTCTTGGCTCTTATTGTTGGAAGGTTTCGGCTGGTTTTACTGGCTTTCAGGGTTATATATGTCATTTAGTCTATTATCATGAACATTTTCTTGTATGTTTGTTTACTTTTGTTCATGCGTCTGCGCCATGCAAATCCTTTTTTTTAAAATTAAAGGTCTGGCCGGTAAGTAATCTACCAAAAAGGACAAATCTATTTTTATTTTTTCCGTTGGGTCCCATCATCAAAATCAAACAACTGTTTCTAAATTCTATATTCAGCAGCTTGATTTGTTTTCTAAAAATTTTATAAGAAAAGTCAACAATCCAATCAATAATCAATTATATGTATAACAACTCTCATTCTAATTCTTTCACCAATACTTTATGTAATTTTTAACTAATACCCTATTGAAAAGTGTTATCTGAAGAATAACATGTCTCAATCAGAGGTTGTTGTATTGGATTGTAACAGGACGAGGAAAATTATGAAGCAGAGAGCTTAAAAAAATTGCAAGTAGAAGAAGAAGAAAAAGAACAATGCAGTCCTGTTTCTGTTTTGGACACTCCATTCGAGGACGATGACGGCAGACACGAGGATGATGATAATGATGAGAACGATGGTTTCGATCTTGAATGCAGCTATGCAATTGTACAAAGTACGTATTTGAATCACCATCATTAATTTTTGCATCATTCCTTCAGGTTTGTGAGGTCTTTATCAGTAAGATGCTATTCCATGTTCATGCATTTGTTTATACTTGGTAGCCGATGCATAGTTGAATTGATAGCTAAATATAAACATCATAAATATGAATGTAAAAGTTGTTGGTTAAATATGTTGGTGAATTCAGATTTTACAAATGAGTATAGCTTTTGATGATGATGGTGATGGTGATATGTGGGATCCATGGAAATTTTGTTGCCATTTAGATTTTAATTTGTACATCAAGTTAGGCTAAAGTGACCTGTTGATGAAGCAGACACCAATGTTTGTAATAACTTCATGTATGACCCACATTTCAAAGTTAGGAGATCTGTCTTAATTGTGCTTTGTACTCTTTTGCTCTTCTGATTGTTGGACCATGTGATCATCTTCATAAATTTACTAGAAATTTTTCAGGGTTTATTTTGAAAACTTGATGCTTTTGATGATTCAAGCCATTTGTTTTTTCTGTTGGAAAACTTAAAAATTTAGCCGAGACAAGTTAATTTTAAGCTGATTGCCTCATTAATCACCACTCCCTTGAGAGCAAAGGAGCTGAAATAATTGAGGCAAAAGGCAAAAGGCTTGGGCAGGTTGAATTGAATCCAGATGCAAATACAGGCATAAAACCCGAAGAATTAGGCCACTCTTGTCACTGTCATAACTTTGCTTCTGCCCTTCTCTTTAATGGTGGAATGCCTAACTTTATTATCGCAGTTAACTTGGATTCACGAATATGGAAATCATCATACCCTTATTTAGTTCCTTAGTTTCAATTCCTCTCTGGATTTATCTTGGTTGTTTTTAAATATTGTCAGCATTCTTGAATCTGGTGGAACCCATTGAATTTAAAATCTTTTCCGTGATTAAAGCTCTAAAACATTAGTAACTGTTGATTATCCTAGAGCTAGGACCTAGGATCTTAAATTCCCTTGAACTTTTTCCACCCTCAAGTTTCAACTTTTATTTCAAATTGATGGAGAAACTAATAGCGTACATAAATCAAAACCATTTGCATGTATTTGAAGCTTATCTTAATTACTGTAGGTACTTTTTAACTGTATATTTATGTTCTTTTCGATTGTCCTTGTTTTGTCACCAGGAGCAAAGCAGCAGCTACTGCACAAACTTCGTAAATTTGAGAAACTGGCCGAATTGGATCCAGTTGAACTGGAGAAAAGAATGTTAGAACAAGAACAAGATGATGATAATGATGACAATGGAACTTATGGCCTAGAGGAAGAAGAGGAATACGAGCGGGAGTCAATTTCACCATATAGTGAAATGAACGTCGATGACTTTCTCCAAGAAGTGCTTAAATCAAGCTTCCACAATCTAAGACATATCCCAGAAGGCATGAAAAGGTTTGTATCAGACCTCATCGCCGAGGAAGAGACAGAGCAAAACTGCTACGTCGATAGAGAAGTGGTGGCAAAAAGGGTTTGTAAGAGGCTGGAGTCATGGAAGGAGGTGGAATCAAACACCATTGACATGATGGTGGAACAAGATTTCAGGAGAGAGCTTGATGGTTGGAAGAGAAATCAAGAGCAGATTAGAGAGACGGCATTAGAAGTTGAATATGCTATCTTTGGATTACTGATGGAAGAATTGTCAGAAGAACTAGTTTATTTAACTGGGGTTTAATGGGGAAAAATTTTGAGGCTAAGATGATGGCAAAAAATGAATTTTGGTTTCAATTTCTTTCATTTTATTAATCAAAATCATATATTAATTAGAGGAGTACAGTCTGACTTGCTTTGAAGGGATAGGCTAAGTAGAAAGATGTATGGAGAAAGCAGGAAGAATGTGGGTTAGAATAGCATGGTATTATGTATATGCAATCATGTATTTGGTGGGTGTAATGGTGCATGGATTCTGGTGTTAATGAGATATATGTACAATTCCTGGCTCTTTATATATGTTTATTAACATATTTTACTGGCTCTTTATATATGTTTATTAACATATTTTACAACATGAAAATTGTTCTATTTTGAATTTAAAGTTTAGATCAGTTGATTAATACTGTCACCCTTAACATATGATTCAATAAGTTTAGAGTTCAAATCTTAATATCTGTAATCCTATCCTTATTCCAAGCTGTGGCCTCTTTTCTACCAAAAAAAATTTTGTTCTGTTCTCTTCCACTTGTTTCATTTCAAGAGCATGAACACATTTCAGATGTCTGAATTACCCAACTTAAATATCAGGTGACTTTTAGATGCAGATAATATCAACTAAATGCTAGCTTGGCTGAAACTGTGAAGTTATTATTAGTTCTCATTTTTACAGTATTGCAACAAAATCCTCTCAGCAATTAGTGATCAGGGTTTGATCAAACATTAGGCAGGCAAAGCTTCCGGCTGCCTTGTACCGAAAAGAGTAGCTACATTGTAGAATGGAATATGGCTGAGGGCGGGGCCTGGTCAAGCAAGGTAGTACAAAGTTGATAACAACATCTTTGCTTTCTTTTAATAGACTACCAGGAATTCTTTTTGCAATTTTTTTCTTTTTCTTTTCTTTCCATTCATTACCTGGAATGCATGTGTCAATAGTCACTTCTGCCTTGGAAAGGGAAAAGGACTGACAAATAATTTTGCAGAAAGATCCAAAGCATTGGCAGAGAAATTTCAACTAAAATAAATAAACCGATTCATAATTCATACAATAATAATTATGGTTGGAATACAAACACTATCACTTCATCAATCAGATCAATACTTCAGCCGAAGGTGGCACTCTCTAAATTCAAGGCTCAAGGCCCCGTTGAACACTTCATATGGTCATGTCTTGGATCAATTGCAATGTAAATTTCTCGATTGAGATATCTGTCTAGTCTAAATAGCCAAAAGAAACATGATTTTGAGTGACTTAACATGAAAAACTAGGCCTAATCTTGTAGCTTGGCCCATTGTTGAGAAATGCAGGGAAAGGATCCAAACGTTGGGCTTGAAAATAGAGGAATAGGGCCACTTTAAGGGCCTTATTGAAAGAACTAGAAGGTTGGTCGTGTTATTACATTTGAGATGCTTTCCTTAACAAAGTTGAAATAGAAGTAGTAAGCACTTTCGTCCTAAAGCAAGAAGAATCGATTCTAACGTTATACTCGAATTTTTTTTTTGTTTTGTTCAACAATTTCATGTTGTGGACATTCTCCAATGAATGATTTGATTGTTGAAATTATGATTTGTTGTTTCAAGATTTTCGAATAGGTTTGAAATTTGAATACTAATTACAATCATTTCCTTCAAAAATACAGCTTCATTCAATGAATTTGTGGTATAAAAGAAACTCGATTTGGACGTTATCAATATTACATGTGTACACGTATTTTAAATTTTGACTGATTAATTTTTCTAATCTTATCTTGTCAAAGTCACGATACATAAATCAGATTGAAAATCGTACGCGGCATTAGCAAGCCACTTATTAGTTAGATTCCATTCATAGTATACCAGCTAGGAGGGTCAATTAGTTGATTTTATATATTATAATCCACAAAAGATCATCATGCGACTCTCTTAATTAGTACATTATGAAATTATATTAAGATTATTGGTGTAACTAAGATTATTGCTTCATAAAATATTCTTATTATATGGATAATGATGTCCACAAATTTTGATTAAGCATATCACACTGAATAGAGCATATCATTACAACAATTACGATCAGAATTCAAAATTATATAAGATATAGGAAATTATTTTATAGAATTCATGATGAATATTTGTATAATTTTTAAATGTGCATGATGGAATAATTATAAAATTATAATAAAATTTTGTTTTTAAGAGGAAAAATACTAAATAGGCCGCAAAGTTAGATTTTGAATCAATTTAAGTGAAGACATAAAAGTAGTGATGGATCTTGACTTTGATTTTGAAAGAACCGACTAATTCTCAACTTTATCTTTTTTTTTTTCGTGACTTACTCTATCATAATTATATATATATACACATAAGGGTGTTCATAATTCAATTTTAACCAAATTAATTGATTAAATTAATTTAATTCGGTTAATTAATAGATCATCAAATTAATTTCGATAAGTTAAAAAAAATAATTTTAAAAAAATTTTGATTTTCAGTTAATTTGGTTTTCAAATCAACTTAACCGAAATATTATAAAACCCATACATAAAATAAAAAATATACGAAATTGTATATTTAATTTCAAGTTATTAGAGTTAATTTAATGTTTTGATATTTAAATATTTTTGTTGAATGATTTTATTTAATTTTGTTTCACATATGAGAAACTAAAAATTTAAAATATAAATTAATTTAATATATTTTATTATTCGATTAACAAAAAAAAAAATTGAATCAATTGAATTAATTCTAATTGGTTAATTTTAAAAATTAAAAAATGAATTTCGATTAAATAAATTAAAATAACATAATTTAATTAATTTAAACCGACCTAATAGCCTTACATATACACACATGTTGCCGTGCAAAAAATATATTGATAAAAAATAACCAAACTCATAAAATTATAAAATAAAAGTATTATTATAATAGCATTAAATTTTTAAAAACAACAAGACTTTTAAATGAACGGTAGAATTACTAATTATATAATTTTTCATTGATTTATGAGAAAATTTTTTTATTTTTATTAATTTAAAATTAAAAAAGTAAATAAATCAATCATTAAATAATTCTTTTATGAAAATAAGTAATAAATATAATTTTTTAAAATGAAATTGAAAGTTTGAGATTAAATATAATCTCATCAAGGCTAGCGTAAATAGTTAAAAAGAAGATGGAGCCGTTGTTTCATTTGCATCAAAACCTTGCACATAGTTTTGTTAGGATTTTTTTCTTGGCCAGTATATGGTTTAGCTAGGCTTAGGAAACAGAATTTCCATGAAGCCAGCAGTCAACGTCGTGAATTTCACCAAACATATATAATTTAATCATTGATCCTGGATTCCAATCATATGTTACTTCGCCATGCCCAACCGAACCAAACTCGAGCTTTTCACACGGTTAATTTGCAACTGCCTCGAAAAGCAATAGTTTCAAGTCACGTGAAACTGCAATGACAAAGATACAATGGGCCGAGCCTGTTTCATTGTTCATTGTATATGAACGTTAAAAGTTTTGTCCCTGACCGACACGGAGCCATCAGCTTCATTAATATATGCCGGAAAATATATACAGTAAACTCTGTTTTCCATATACATTTTCTGAGAAGTTTTCGAAAAGCATACGTTGGTAACAAGGAATGTCGACGACGCAAGCTAAATTCATTAGAAGAAAGAATAAAATTCAAATAAAATTTAAAATATTTTTTATTATATTATTCAAAAAAGTACGAGTTACAAGGAATATTGGTAGCCAATGATTGGGAGTATTTTTCCCCACGTGAATCATATTTGGATTCTCCCCAGTACCACGAGGAAAGCGTGAGAGAAGAAATAACAAAATAAACAATCAAACACGATTCTCGTGCTCATTCCCTTCTCATGAAACAAAAATCATTCTTGTTTCCCAAGTATTTCATAATTATATAGCATGCATATTCCATAGACAAAGAAGAAAAATAGAAATGAAACAGAGGGAAGATCAGCAATCGGTTTTATTCTCAAAAAGCCTCCAAAGTCCATGTTCTTCGTTACAACTTGATCTAGACAGCTCATTAAGGCAAGTTGAAACACAATACCAAAAGCGAAAAGCTGGGCGGAAGAAGTTTCAAGAGACTCGACACCCTGTATACAAAGGGGTTAGGAGGAGGAATGGGGAATGGGTCAGCAAGCTTCAAGAGCCTAACAATGAGTCCCGAATCTGGCGAGGGACATTCTCGAGCCCAGGCATGACAGCTAGGGCTTATGCTGCAGCGGCCTTGGCTCTCGAGGGAGATACTGCTTCCTTAAATTTTCCCGAGCCTGCTAATACATTACCACTTGCTACTTCATCCTCTTCATCCTCCGTAACGGATATTCAGTGTGCTGCTATGGAGGCTGCGGAGGCGTTTGGTGATGTTGATGCCAAAACATCATCTACTTCGACTTCAATATCGTTGTTGCCTCCACCATTGTCATGTTCGAAGAACTCGGAGAATGTTGAAGGGAGTTCGAAGATGTTGTTTATGGATGAAGAAGAGGTGTTTAACATGCCAGGGATACTTGACAGTATGGCAGAAGGGTTGATACTAACTCCTCCAGCTATGCAAAAAGGGTACTATTGGGATGATGATGATGATGATGATTCAATGGAATTCACTCTCTGGGGTGACTAAGTTGTTCAATTTTTGTAATATTTTTATTTAAAGTTTTTTCTGAATGCGGATACGGACCAGTACTTTATACGAGGGAATGGTTGAGTAGCATAGAGAATAGAAACTGTATTATATTAATTAAGCAAACAAAAGATCAGTTGAAACTTGAAAAACGTGGACCGTTAGTGCTTAGGCTAGAGCTTTGCCTTCCAGTTCGAGCTTTCAAAAACCTCCAATGAGAATCAATATTCAACCCAAATTGATTAAAGAAACAGATCAGTTAATAATACCATTTTCCTGTTATATATTGTGGAAGCTAAGCCCAGGAAAGTTACCCAAATACAAATGCTTAAGTCTCAATCGTCAACATCCTGCACAAAATTGGTGCCAACAGATTATCAAAGCGATTTGTTGATGATAACATAGAACAAATGATTTGAAAAATAGAAACAGATAAAAGGCTTACAGAAATCAAACAGTACTGCATTTGGACCATGTTTAAAAGAACTAGTAGTACTTTTTACTGGAGTAATGACAATTTAACTGAGAAAATTAGCAAGTGATTTCATTTCACCTCAAAAACGACCCAATCACTAAAGGCCATCTTGAATTCATTCACCTCTTGGATAACATTTGTTGGCAAAGCTAAGGAATGGAAGATATAACCATCATATTCAATTCTTTAGCATGCTTGAGAAAAAGACTTAGCTTCCCATGTGGATTCTTATAAAATTGAAGTTTGATCCTAAATATTTGCAATTTCTTTTCTTTTATTTTTTAGTTTTGGCTTTTTTTATGTCCAAATCCCGATATATCAAAATAGAATTTCTACTTCTTATGCTTTGATGATTTTGTCCTTCTGTGATATTGAATTTATAAAATTGGTTAGTACTAGTACAAGGGTTGGGTCAAAATTTGAAATTAATTACTTATTTCGTAACGGAAAAATTATATAGGGCAAGATAAAAATTTCTTTTTTTTATTTTAATAAAAGAGATTATAGCATGAGAATAGAAAAAAATTACAAATACTACCAATGCTGCCCATAATATCCTATCTTTATTAATTTCTAATTAATTTGGAATGTTCAGGAACACTTGAAAGAATTAATTAATATAAATCATATTAATTAAATAAACCAAATTACTCTTTTAACTTTTCCTTCTTCTAATTGAGGATATTAATCTTATTTAAATCCAATAAGGAGTTCAAGTTTTTTATCTCAACGAGGATGGAATTAAATTTTGGCTATAAAAAAAAAGACAAGAATAAATATGATTTTAAATTTTTTATTAAATATGAGTACGAAGATGAATAATATAAAACTTGTTTTGTACTCATACTTTATATATATATTTAAATATATTTAATAAATTAATTTTTTATTTAAAAATATAATTTTTATTTTAGATTAATTAAAATTAAATATTTATACTTAAAATATATATATTTATAAAAAATTACATGTGCAAGATAAAAATTTAAAAATGTTTTTTATTATTTTATTTTTTGAAAAAGTTACTTATATTGGATTACTAATTCATATTAAATATACACAAGATGAGACAAACATGAATTTGAAATACCCATATAAGTATGTGGATAGATATAATATAAAAAAACCCAAATTAAGGATGATGAAAGTTCTAACGTCTCTATACACTACTACATCCCTACTTCTAATTATTAATTTTCCCATCATCACAGATGCTACGCAAATGGAATTTTTTCTATTTAAATCAAAATTACTCAATTTGAATGATGGGTGTAGAAATCGGTATTTACAATTTACAGCACTCTTGAGTTACTATACAAACTTGTTATGTAGAAGCTGTAAAAATCAACCCAAAACATGGTAAGTGAAAGTTGAGACTGTTTAGACCATTGGTCTATCATTCTAAATCGTAAGGCCTAGCCTATACAGCATGATAAACAAAAAAATGCAGTAAGACTAACTAACTGACAAAGGTCCAGACTCTGGACCATGGGCTGTTTTGCCAAAAACATGAGCTTGGCCCGGCTACAAATATATACACGTGGTAAATAATAATACATTGGTAATTTGACAGGGGAGCTGTTATTTTATGCGCTATTATAAAGATTGTAAATTCTATGTTATGCTTTTTGATTTATAGATTAAGAAAGCTTAAAAAAATATATAAAATGAATGTTTGAACCAGCTCAACTTCATCTCTTGTCTTTTGTTTAATGGATAAAAAAAAAAGCTATTGTAAATTTTACAAACGAAGTTAAATATTATATTTTTGTTAATTATTTTAAATATATCCTATTAAAATATGTGATAATTTTTTTTATCTCTTTAATTTGGTCTGAAAATTTAAGAATATGTTTTGATTTCTTATCCCTTCAATCAAGGACAAGGGATATGAAACCAAGTCATTGTCTTTATTTAAAAAAAAAAAAAAAAAAACCTGTGTAGTTTATTTAAAAAAAAAAAAAAAACGTTTGACTAACATAAGAAAAAAAATGTAAAACAAAAATATTAAGTGCTAGTAATAAAATACAATGAATTGATACTATAATGCAATTCTAACTTATGATTTTGTTAGCCGTCAATGTATCTATTAATGTGTTTCAATCACATTATTGAGATTATGTTGAGGGTAATTTCGATCTATTTTTATAAAAAAAAAAAAAAAAACACAATAATCAATATGTTTGAAATAATTTATTATTAGGTTTAATATTACTCTTTCTGTCCCAAATTTTTTTGCTCATCTTTTTTTTTTATGTCTCAAAATTATGTCTTTTTTTTAACATATAAAACTTTTACTTTTTTATATTTTAAAATTATTTATATATATTTTTTAATTTTTTACATTAAAAATCATGAAATTTTAGTTTTATAAAAAAATTTAAAATTTAATATTAAATACATTAAATTAAAAAAAAAAACACTTCATGAAAATCAGTACGTGACAAATAAATAATAGGAGAAGTAGGGAATAATATACACGCTCATAATGTCTTACAGCTTTCTTTATCTTTCTTTTTTTTTTTATGAAAATTAACTCTATATAATTCATTCAATATTCACCAAAGCCTAGCCAATTGTAAGCCTCTCTTTTCTTCTTGTCTTAATCCCTCTCACAACCGGAATTTCACAATGGACTCATCATCACCAGATTCTTCTCAGAATTCTAGAGAAATTGGATACAACTTCAAATCCAAAATAACAAGAAAAATAAGTTCAGCAGCAGATGTAGGAGTCAATCATGTCATAAATATTATGGAAGGAAACGAGGATCGCTTAGCTTCCATGCATAAGAAAATCTTGGAGCCACCGCGTTTGCTGAGCATGTGTGCTGGTAGGACCTCATGCTGCATCTTCAGAGTTCCAGAGAGCCTGGTCGAGGTCAACGATAAGGCCTACCGACCTCGTATTGTCTCAATAGGGCCATATCACCGCGGGGAGCCTCAGCTTAGGATGATTGAGGAGCACAAGTGGCGGTATTTAGGCTTCTTGCTCAAAAGGATGCAAGGAAAAGGCTTGGGATTGGAAGACTTTTTAAAGGCCATACAGCCCCTGGAACTGAAAGCAAGAGAATGTTATTCTGAAACTATTCAGCTTGGCAGTGATGAATTTCTCGAGATGATGGTTCTTGATGGTTGCTTCATCGTTGAATTGTTTCGAAAAGTTGGAAACTTAGTTCCATTTGAGCCTGATGATCCTCTAGTATCTATGTTATGGATATTACCATTTTTCTACAGGGATTTTCTTCGATTGGAAAATCAAATTCCCTTCTTTATTCTTCAATGTCTGTTTGATTTATCAAAGATGCCTGGAGAGAAATCTGGTCGGCCCTTATCTATGCTAGCTTTGGAATTCTTTAACAACGCAATACTAAGGCCCGATGAAGTTATAGCTAAGTATCATGATCTAAAAGCCAAGCATTTGCTTGATTTGGTCCGTGCAAGCTTTATTCCATCCGATCAAGATCGCGAGCCATGCAAGGTTTGTGTACCAACTCGAATGATTCATTCCGTTTCCAAGCTTCGCCGTGCAGGAATCAAGCTCCATCCAGGAAAAGCAGACAGCTTCTTGGTCATAAAATTCAGACATGGTGTGATAGAAATGCCTCCTATAACCATAGATGATTTCATGAGCTCTTTATTGCTCAATTGTGTAGCATTTGAGCAATGCCACCGGAGCCCCATGAAGCACTTCACAGATTATGCTACTCTATTGGACTGCCTGGTAAACACCTACAAGGACGTGGAATACCTATGCGAGAGAAACATCTTCGAAAACTATTTTGGAACTGAAGGAGAAGTCGCACGATTCATCAATGATATGGGTAAAGATACAGCATTTGATATCAACAACTGCTACTTATCTAAGCTGTTTAGAGATGTTCACCAGTATTACCGGAATAGTTGGCATGTTCAATGGGCTAGCTTCAAACACACTTACTTTCAAACTCCATGGTCATTTATATCCGCATTGGCTGCCTTGATTCTCCTACTACTTACCATTGCTCAGACCTTCTTCACAATTTATCCTTTTTATAAAACCTGATAAATATATAAATTTAACATAATTATGATAAAATAAAATACTTTGATCTATTGTTGCTTTTTATAGGGAAAATAAGCTTGTAGACTAAATTTCTGAATAATAGCAATGAATATCATCTTTTGACGGAAGGATTGGCCTTAGGAGGCAGTACAAGCAGCGTTATGTGCGATTAGTCTTATCTTATATGATGGCTTTTTCCTCGGTTTTATCTTACTAGTTCCTCTTCATTCCAAATATACTCAAAATTTTGCTTGGTAATATATTCATTACTTGAGAAGAAACTCATTGTAAAATGCAGGATCAGAGAGGCAAATCAACTCGGAGATCAAAAGAAGTGGGTTACAAAAGGCTGCCTTTCGTGAAACAACACTACTGTTCTACGTGGTTGGAAATTTGAATTCAATGAAGAATAGGAATGCCAATTTTTTAAGACAATAATTTATGCTCTTTGAATAGCGGTCAGCTGTTATATCAAAATGAGTTATGGTACGCACCTCAACAAACGTTCAAAAGATGCATATGCCTCATTATCAAAACCAAACATTCAATGAGAAAATAATTCCTAACCATATATATAGCACACATAAGAGGGTCCAAGAATTAAATCCAAAATTTAGTCTAGTTGATTTATATAAATATTTTAAGATACTATCTAACAAGTTTGTAATTCAAATTACAACACTTACAAATTTTTTTATCCTTAAATTATAACACCTTTTGTTAAAAAAAGTGTACAAAAAATTTTTTATTATCATGCGACTTGTTAGATATATATGTCTAACTAATATTCAACGATTAATTATCGAAGAAGGCCAAATTAAAGATATATCTTCACTATAATATAAGTATAATATTATCCTATTATAAAAGTTAAAGGATAGAAAATGTTCCTGAATTGTAATTAAATAATATTTAAATTATTATTATTTTTTGTAATTAATCAAATCTTTAAATAGAAATTTGCATCCAATTAAGCTCTAAAAAAAAAGTTAATACCGTTAATTTTTTTTATCAACTAAAATAAGATTTAATGTAACATCAATAAAATAAATTAAACTTTATCACGTGACTTAATTAATATACGTGAAAATTAAAAATTTTATTATTTTTTTTTTATTTTTATTCCCTATTTTTTCTCCTCTCTAAGATGATTTATTTGACTTTAGGTTACGAATTGATTGATTAAAATTTGCTATATGATTAAATTATTTTCATTTAAAAGTTTAATTGAATTAAAATAAAAAAATTAGTAATTATAATAAAATATTAAAAATTTTAAATAATTATTAAATTATAATTTAATAACATTTTTTACCTTTTAATCTATTAAAAATATAGTAGTCTATAGTAGTCTACGCTGACCACGTCAATTCAAGACTAATTTTAGTTTGGAACATCTATTTCCACTATTATGCTAGCAAAGAATGAGCTATATCTTAAAATTTAATGTCATTCATTCAGTTGGTAGCATTAAAATTGGAATTAAAAAATAAGTTTAATTTGAGAATAATGGGACTCTATGTCTACCACTCTACCATTCATAGGCTATTGGTACGTCCAAATCTTTTCTGACAATTGACTGGGAAGAAAAAAAGCCCTTTTTTTTTTAAATGGTAATTACTTTTTGAAATTGGTTTTCCAATGGATAAATTGATAGGGATTACTCTCGCAGGCGAAAAAAGCTGATATTCCTCGTTACACTGATGATAGAGACTTGAACCTAAACAGGGGCAATAGTTTATACTTTGTATTGTTACAAGTTGCCATTTATTTGATAAGTGCAGTAACAGGACACAATGAAAATTTTACAACGGATTGAAAATTACGTCATAAACCTGGAGCATCTATCTGCTAAGTTTTAATTCATGAATTTCAAGTCTACAACTAGGATTTGCTTGTTATATAATCGAGCCAAACAGTTTGTTTCATTAACAAAGGAAAAGATACAGAAAATAAAACAGAGCAACCAAGTCATAAAACAAACTAGGCAGATCAGATATGGAATGAAAACCTTAAAAACTTGTCTTAGCATACACCTATCTGAATTAAATTTTCAGGGGTGGTGGAGGGGTTTTTCAACCTTGTGATTAATTTTTGCACCTCTTGATCCATCACCAAAAAATATAAAATTTACTTGCTTCTTGCGTAATTAATTTTTGAATAAAAAATTAAGTTTAATTAATTCATATAATCATTCATGCAATCTCTTTTAACGGTAAAACATGTTATTATCAGTCAATGTACTGCTAACTAACTTTCTCATATTTTCTGCTTGGATAGGTGTAAGGAGATACCAAGCATGAACTTAATATCTTTGAAGAAAACTCTGAACCTTTTATATTGTAAGTTATTTAGGCCTTTCATCGAGCACTCCTAATTCCAAAAGGCATTTACCAACCAGTCACAATGCAACTACAAGGGTAGGCAGTTGACCTAAAAAGCATTCACTTAGTGCCATCCAAAATCATTTCACAATGATACAATTGGACCAGACCCGCTGCACTTGTGTTATACAATTTGACAATGATGATGATGCCACTTGCTAGGAACCAGCATATTGGACTTACAAAGATCACACAGAAAGAGAATTTATCCATATGTACAATACAGAATATATACTTCTTGAACCCACAAAAATATTTGAATAGATAGGAAGTTAGACCTCCATCCCTAAATATTTCATTTCACTGTAATGTATATGTAAAGATAATCACAACCATATTTGAATCTCAATAAGCATTTTAGTCTTAACTAATACTTCAAATTACTGAAATTAATCATTGATTAGATTGTAAAACAAAAACGTATTCAAACAGTTGACTCAATGATTGGATACATGTATGCCTTATTCAAAGAAAAAAAATTAGGAATCCAATAAAAACAACCAGTACAACTTGCACCATTAAGTACCTCACTTGTAGCGTATGCTACAGGAAAATAACTATCCGCCGCAAGTTCATTGGAACTGCAGCCTGCTAGCGTGGACAGGACAGCAGATAATGCTTTGCAGGCCTCGAGTATTCCATCTGTCTTCAGGACAAAAATTCTGGACTGGGTCTTCGGTTGAAATTGACCTTTGTTTTTTTGTTCCTGTTTGACCTTTGTTTTGAAAGTTTTAATGTCTAGAATTTTATTTGTCAAATACCATTTGCGCTCGCCTCCCTGGTATCTGGCCTCCATATAAACCCATAAACCAACTTCTTTAAGGCCTCAAATCCATCTTTCCCTTGAAAGCAATAAACAATACTTGCAACTTGCTTCATCAAACTTGTTCAAATTTCAATAACTTCTAGCAGCATCCTTTTTTTTGTAAAGAATCTCTTACAATCAGTGCTAATTACACGGCATGAGCCATGAGCCAATTTCCTCAACCCACCAGACCTGTTCACAGCTATGATTTGACTCCAATACGATTCCCTCAAGCCTCTCAACCTGTTAACATGGACAATATGTATTCCTGGTCTTCGATTCCTGAAGAGGGGTTCCAGTTCGATTTCCCGAAGAACTTGATACCACCACCGTCGACAGCAGCATCAGAAGAAGAAGAGAAGCAAGCATTTGAAAATCTAACCAGCGTCATATCCGAATGGTACGAAAAACTTCTTGAAAGCATAAGAAGCCAAATAAACTTGGAAAAATTCAATATCTCATGTAATAACAATATTGAGCAAGGCTTCCAGGTCGAGTCTACAACAACTCTTGGCCACAATGAACACCTGGAGGAGTTTAAGCATAAGCTTGAGCGATTCAAAATGAAGATTATAGATATAAATACCTCGCGTGGGGTTAATGGACAGACTGAGGAGCCACGGCAAAAGCTTGAGGGCTTCAAAATAAGGACGGTGCAGCTGGGAGAAGTTGCCGATAAGGAAGTTAAGCAGTGATTGTAAATGTTTGAAACGTCGCGCATTTAAACTCTAAATTTGTATTTATTTATGTTCTTTCAAATTCTTTTATTAATTTGGTGGGTGGAACTGAAAAAAATTTCGGTTTGCTCGTATCATGGTTTAGGTGTATATATATTTCTTAATGATATAAATAATTATGGTGGAATTATCATATTTGCAGTCTACAACCAAGAACAATATATCTATGTACATTCCCATAATATGAATATACCCATGGATATAAAAATTTGACAAAATTCATAATAAATGTTGGAAATTTTATAAATACTTTATTGTATATTTATTAATATTTTAAAATGTCATACAGCAATTAAAGATATGATGCATAATTAACAAAATTTTGGATGCAAAAAGGGATAACAAACGAAACAAAATTTAAAATTCTTACTTTTTTGGACAAAAAGAATTTTCATTTCCTTTAATTAGCTTTTAGCTAATTTTTAACCTTTAGTCAAAATATATAAGCTTTTAGCACTAGAATCAAAATGGAAGAAAGAAAATATTGAAAAGGATGGTTTGACCCAGGGAATATCTTCGAGAGATGTGTACTTAGTTTCTTCAAAGATTTTCATAAAAGAAAAGGAAAAAAAAAAAAAAAGGAGCATATTAATTCTTCCTATAACATAACTTTACGTGATCCAATCTTTATTTTCTTTATTCTAAAGATAAAATCTGCATGGCAGTTATTAGCAAACTTGGTCATTCCTTTTTTATCATCTCATCCTTGTTGACTCCTACCACATTATAAGTGTTGAATATATATATATATATATATATATATATATAATATAATATAATATTGTAACATTAAAATCATGTTTAGTACATAAAATAATAGATAGGATAAAATGATAATTATTTTATATTATGTTTAATTTATATAAAAAAATAAATTTATTATAAAGATTAATCATCTTCTTAGTATAAGATGAGTTAACTTTCTAAAAATAGAGAGAATTATTTTTTATCTATGGGATTAAATTTATTTTTTTTATTATATCCTTAAAAATTATATCAATAATTTAAATTATATAAATTTTGAAAAAGATAATTAAGCTAATAAATAAATTATTTTATCATAATTTTTATACATTTCAAACACAAAAAATAATGATATTATTTTATTTTATTTATAATATCATTTTATCTTATCTTATTATAATCTTACGTGTCAAACACATTTTAAAAATCTACTACAACTAACAAATGTCTATGTTAATAGCTGCAGACTTCCCATGCCTAACTAGTACACGCTCTGGTAAATAATTTCTTTTTTTTTTTTTTCGTTTAAGGATTGATATCTGTGAGATGCATTTAAAAGTAAAATTTTAAAAGTATATGGGAGAGTACATTTCTGAAAT